CAAGAAGCTATTGGAAACAAGTCTTCTTCGCGCTGCTTAATTTCTCGGTCTCTCCGTATCGGATCTTGGCAGTATCGGAGTGTCCGTCCAAGGCAAGCGTTCAGGGACTTGGCCCTTCTGCACCACCCCGACAAAGGGCTTGAAAGTTGCAATGAGACGTGACTTGACTTGAACATGGGGAAGGACTTCACGTGGAGTGCATCTCAAGAATGCAAGCAGCAGTCTTTCACGTTTTCGATATTGGTATCCCAATCTGCAACACTGTAGGTTTCGAATCGTGCGTGGGGCTTACCAGCGAGCGCTTGCCTTCTTCCAAGAGAAGGACAAAGATGCGAAGGCGGGCCATCAGGGCTCTTGGCATGCAATCCCTCCCTACCCTACTCCTTCACTCCAGCGCCTATCTCACCCCTTCCTTCCTTCCTTCCTTCCTTGCGTTTCCCAGGAGTTACTTACTGTTTTGGCATTGAGAAAGGGTGCGTTCGCCGATCGCCCAGGTACCTGCTCCAGTGCCTGGTTGAGCCCGCGTTGAGCGTTGAGAGATGGAGAATCCAATGGGTTTGCCCGCAGCCTGCGAATCTCATGTGGCCTAGTGCTTAAAAAGCCTTGCCCGGCCAAGCCAAGAATCTTTGACAACAGAGTGCCATAGAGGCCAGAAGAAGGGGTTTCGAAAATAGGATAAAATAGGTATCTAGTATCCATAAAAGGATCACTTAACATAACGTATGTTGACATGTGAAAAGGTAGCCCGTATTTTTCAGAATGCCTGAAGGAGCGTCTTGCTGAACAAACGGGCAGCGAACCTTCATGCTCACTTGCCCGCTAACCGACGTGTTTTATGCACCAACGGTGGAGGTAGCAACCACGAACATTGTCCAGCAGGTATTGCATCTAGATACAAGGAGCCAAAATACTTTTTAAAGCAAAGAAAGCAACACGTAAAGCAAACAAAAAAGCAAAACATGTAGCTTTAATGACTTTGCGTGTTTGTCGTTTTTTTTCACTTTTTTCCGCTGTACTTTCCAATTTTGTTGCTTTATTTTCGCATTGCTATCGCTTTATATAAATATTTTTTCAGGGGGCGTTTTTCCGCTTTGTCCTAGGACCTAGGAGCGTACAGCGAATATTGCTGACGGGTAAAGTTCTCATAAGTGCAGAAGTGGTACCAGGAAACAGGCAAATGCAAACACCAAGCAAAACAGGCAAACACAAAGGGCCCAGAAGTCCCTAGTAGCGTCCTGCTCCTAGTAGCGATGCCAGGAGCCCCTAGTAGCGTCCTTGTTCCTACTAGTATGACCAGGAGCCCCTAGTAGCGTCCTTGCTCCTAGTAGCGGTGCCAGGAGCCCCTAGTAGCGTCCTTGTTGGTAGTAGCAAGGCCAGGAGCCCCTAGTAGCGTCCTTGCTTCTAGTAGCGATGCCAGGGGCTCCTAGTAGCGTCCTTGTTTGTAGTAGTAAGGCCAGAAGCCCCTAGTAGAGTCCCTGCTCCTAGTAGCGATGCCAGGGGCTCCTAGTAGCTTCTTGTTCCTCTACCCCCCCTGTGACAGAAGTCTTGTTTGAGGTGCAGCTTGGAGACCATCGCTACCATCGCTAGTAGGTTGGAGGCCACTTCTTTCCAGTTCCCACCTGGTTCTAATTTAGGCTTCAGCTTCGAACTCAGAGACTCAAATAGACTCGGGTGGACTCACTAGACACTCCGCCAGACCTCCAAGTGCACCGCAAGCCACGCAGTTGATCTGAAGGGAATTGACAAGCAAGCATTTGTCGTAGGTGAGCTGCAAGGACGGACAGAAGACAGTCCTTCCTTCCTTCCTTCCTTCCTTCCTTATATAAATACGCATGTTTTTCTTTGTGGATTGCCTTTAGATGGCTTGACTCTCAAAGAGTTCCAGTCCTTCAGTATGATTGCAAACGCGAATGTGGCCCGGTCACAGATAGCGCCAAGCGGGGACGGGTGACCCATTGAGTCGATTGAGTAGTTTCGAGCATTTTTGATGTGTGCAAGCGCATCATCAGTGGAAATCGAAGCGGAGATTTCCGAACCAACATCAGTTGGAATGCCAAAAAAACATGGAAGCCCTCAAACTCAACAATGATTTAGTTGAGACATGATGGCCAAGGCCCTTATCCTCATCCTCATGCTTGGTTTTGCATTCCATCTCATCTACGCTGCAACGTGCAGCTAACTTGGGGCTGACAAGCAGCACACTATCACTAGCAGCGCACCAGTGCCTCAAGAGCAGAACTCTCACTTGGAGAGGAAAAGCCTCACAGAGAGAACTGCCAATGCGAGAAAGTGAACGCATGGAAATAGAGTGGGACTGCAGGTGCACTTGGAATACGGTGATTTATGACATTGCATCATGGTGCTTTGTACTATGAGGCCGTTGCGCAAGGAAAAAAGGCTGAAGGAATCGACCTTGAAACTTTTAGGCTGGCCAATGCACTTGGATCGTCGCCGGAAGAGGCTTGCATTGATCTGTAGGGTTGGTGGATTGGATCTCAATAACCTAATAGCGATGGCCTCCAACCTGCTAGCGAAATGGACTCCAAAACGACCGTTGGACGGACAATTCCCAACCCTATGGAAAATTCAGTTTCACCCCGCGACGAGGCTTGATTAGTCTTGTCCCAATTTCGGCACATGGCTACGCCAGCCGTCAAAGACATAGAAGTACCCCAGGCTCTGCAAGCGTCAGTTGCATCCATTTCCCAGAACACATCAAACCGTTGGAGACGGTGGCATTCGAGACGCTGAGCCTGCGGGTTCGAAGGCTGAAGGAGCAAAACAGGTAAGGCCCAAGCAGCGGACGTGAGTTGAAGATTTTTTGGGTGTTGCATGGCTTTGCCGCTTGGCCATTGTGTCTCAGTTTGGCAGCTCCATCCATACCATCTCCATCGACAGTCACGCCGTTCGAAGAGAATGTGAGGTTCGTGAGGGGTGACCTGGATGCCATCGAGAGAGGTGTCTTGGAGAAGGTGAGGGAGAAGCGGCAGGCCTGATCGAAGCACCTGAATCAATCAAACATCTCGCCACTCTTCCAGATGTCTTTGTGAATCTTTGTGATCAGTTTGCATCTCCTCACGCATCCCGGCATCAGCATGCCTTTGAGACTCGACGCATCTCTGCTTGAATCCTCCAGTGTCGCGTCCGCGACCGGCGCCGCGAGTGGCGCACGCAGCAGGTGACGGCTGCTTCAACTCCTTTGCCGCTGGGAGGTCTGTCTGGGTTTTGGGGCTCTGAGACACTGAGCGTGACGCGGGCAGGAACTCAAGCGCATCATAGCCAAGTCCTGGAAACAAAGAAGCTACTAGTAATAATGCACTTCTAGTAGCGATGGCCTCCGAACTACGAAGAACGACGAAGACAATAGGTAACATCCAAACTACAAAGAGGAACGACCCCACACTTAATTCCCAACTTGGGATTTCACTCCCCCTTGGGCTTACAGACTTGGTATGACTGGAGGCTTTGGCCCTGAACAACCCATGCTCTTTTGATGTAGGCTCCAGGCCAAAAAGTGCGGCTGCAGTGGCTGCAGCTCAGTCAGCTCCGGTCAGGCACCTAGCAGCTATGTGAGTCCAAGTCCACCATTTGGCACTATCATAGTGCTGCATGAAACACCTACAAGCCATGGCTGCTGCCTTAACAGCATAAAACAACACGGCAACACACAACAAGCTAAGGCAAAAGTGCTTTGCATTGGCCATACAACGACTGCATTTTGCTGGCCATGAAAGGAAGGAACAGAACAAAAGTTACGGCTGCCAGAAAATCTAGAGTAGAGATTGTCAGAGAAAAGTTGAGAGACGTAGAGAAAAGATGAGAACCCGTGCAGATGAGACGTATGACGAAAATCACACGCGACAAACTCACCTGGCATCGCACAACTCGCCATGCATCGCGTGATTCGTCATCACGACATATCACGAAAAGCAAAAAAACAACATACTAACCAAGACTCCGGTCGGCTAAACAAGCAGCACACACGAAGTACCACCGCCTTTGTATGACATGTTTCCGCATGGTCGGCAGTATCATTGTCATGCCTCTCAGTTCCACGCTCGCCGGAGCCACCATGTGGCTAACGAGACATGCCCGCTGATCCCAACATGTCCGGTATATAGCTGAACCAGAGTGACGTGCGAAGACGGCCTTCAAGGTGCCTTCGAAGGGCCGAGCCAATTCCGAAACAGCAAAGGCCAACTGCCGCGGCCGAGCAAACCTGAGAGCTTTTGGGCCTCCAACTTGATAGAGATGGCCGAACAGCAGCGTTTGAGCTCATGCCCCCCCCCCAAATCCACCAAGAATTTCCTGCGCAGCAGGGTGGCGTGAACATGAAAGAAAGGCATTTGCAGAACTCCTCTGGTGCGGAAGAAACTGAGGTTGAGACGAACTTGCAACAGGTTGGCAGCAAATCAGCACCGCACCTGGTAATGTCAGACACTTGGGCATTAGACGCGATACGCCTGTTCCTCCAGCACACCCTAAAGTCCTGACTTCAACTCGTTGCATTTGGAATCATCGCTGGAATACCTAGAATCATTCTTGTGGGCGCCTTTTGGCTGAAGTGGCCGTGATGGCAAAGGGCAGGGGGACCTCACCAGAGGCATCTTGTTCAGTCCGTCCCTGAGGGTGCCAAAGCCGGTGCTTTTGAAGCCACCTGATTGCTTTGACCTTTGGCGAGAGCTGGGGGGCCCAGATGAGCATAGGTACCAGGTACAGTGCTTGTGATGCAAAGCGTTGGCAATGTGGTTTTGACATGCCCTTTCAAACAGCTATCACGGAATTGCAAGAAGATGCACTAAAATAAAATAAGCACAAAAGCCGGCTTTGAAATTCCAGGACTTGGCGCTGGGGATGCCACAACAAGAATGAATTGGATGAAAGCATGCATGACGTCTATCACGTTGGCCAACCAGCAGTGGCCTCCAACCAAAAGCAGCCAATTGAAGGATCACCCAACCAATTACAGTAGCAGATAATGCGTTGCAGGGGAGAGCCAGGCAACTAGGATAACAAGAGTCGACTATGACTATGCCATGTACAGGATCGGGTGGTACAGCACAAATTCTGGAAGGTTAGGTATCAGATGGTATAAGGAAGTTTCAAATGCATCCGATCTGTTATGCAGCACTTGTTCCGGATCCAGGTGACTCACTGTGTTTCTTTTGCCGAGGTATGATTCGCTGCAGTACGCCAATGAAGAAGCAGCACCAGACTGAGACGGTAAATGCTGAGTGAATGCTGAGCACGTCTTGTGTCATCTTGTGTTTGATAAGCATGATGATTCGCCCAAGGAAAAGAGGAGAGCCAAACAGGTTGGAAGCCCGGTTGAAGATGACTTGTCTCACTTCAGACTCCAGACCACACGGCGTGTCTTCCATCTCCAATCTGCTCCAGCCACTAAGCCCTTCAATCCCCTAAGGCCCAAGCCAAAAGGCACCTGGAAGCTCTAAGTGAACAAGTACAACAGGCAAGACATGAAACCCTGCTTCGGGCCATGATTTTGTGGAAAAGGTTTGCAGGACGCGGTTGGGGTTCGGTTGAGGCCAAAGCTCGACGTGAGGTTGAGGCTGAGAATGCGCTGTGAACAGACCTTGGCAGCATGTTAAATGAAGACGTTGCACTGTAGGCATCTGAGAAGGAAAAGGACCGAGAGGCGCTACTAGCACAGGCCGCAAGTGGCAGGAATGTTTGAAGCTTCAAGTTTTTGGGGCTACCAGAAGTCTACGGAGCCTCAAGTAGTAAGCCTTCCCTCAAAGCATCCGCCGAAGACAGTGGTTAAAGCTTAAAGGGAAACCCGCTGTGGAGACTGTTTGCTGAAAGCTTGTCGGCCAAAGCTGCAGGTCCATCGCAGCCAAAGTGAAGCCACAGCAGAGTACAAAACTTGAGACACTAAAGCATCGTGGTTCCCTTCGGATCCACAAACATGACAATGAGGTTGGCTAAGAAGCTCCAAAAGAAGCAAATGCAGAAAGAGGCCTCAGCAGACCAGTAGACTCAGTAGAGACAGCATGGAGCAGCTAATGGGCCAAGCAATAACATAATCGCGTCAGAGTTTACAGAATGCAGTGAATTGCAGTGAGGCCTCTCTTGAGCTACTGGCTTTGCCCTTAGAGCATCTGTCCGTGTCTGTCCGTGTCTGTCTCACCTCCCGGATTGTCAGTGCCCGACAAGTGCGAGAAAGCGTGCACAAGTGCTCGGCGACTTGCAGAGCATTCCCAAGTATCTCAGATAGTAGAAACTTCTTGCTCCTAGTAGCGAGGCCAGGAGGCCCTAGTAGCGTCCTTGCTCCCAGTCGCGAGGCCAGGAGCCCCTAGTAGCGTCCTTGCTCCTAGTAGTAAGGCGAGGAGCCCCTAGTAGCTTCTTGTTACTGGTAGTGCGGCCAGGAGCCCCTAGTAGCTTCTTGTTACTAGTAGTACGTCCAGGAGCCCCTAGTAGCGTCCTTGCTCCTAGTAGCGAGGCCAGGAGCCCTAGTAGCGTCCTTGCTCCTAGTAGTAAGGCCAGGAGCCCCTAGTAGCGTCCTTGTTCCTAGTTCCTTTTGGAAGACTCGGAATGCATCATCATGGTGTCATGGAGTCATCATATTCCCAAGGCGAGTGTGGAGAAGAAGAGCGAAGCAGCCCACCGCATCAAAGTCGCCAAGACAGCGTGGGGGCACCTCAGCTGGTGCAGCGACCTGCAGCTCAAACCGTTGCCGTATCAACCCAATCAAAAACAACCGATGCGGCCAGTAGGAGTTTCAATATTTACACGTTTGATTATGATTTGTTCCATCTTTGTGACTCTGTGGGTGTTTCGCCCCTTGTCATCAGCCAGCATGGATCATCACAAGCTGAACAGGATGGATCGCACTCTCCTTGCGGAAGAGCAGTACCGGCAGCAGGACTTGCAACGAACAGGGGTGCTACTAGGGGCGCCTGGCCTTACTACTAGGAGCAAGGACGCTACTAGGAACAAGGGCATCGCTATTAGGAAGGTGTTACTGTAATATCTTGAAATGAGACAATTGAACTTTGAAATGCGCCGTGCTCAGATGTGTCAGACTCCTGTAGTAACAAGTGCATCGCAACTAGTAAGAAGTGCATTGCTACTAGTAGCTAGAATCGCTACTAGTAACAAGGGCATCGCTACTCCTGATTTCGTCTTCTGCCTCTTGGCACCGTCCTTTTGTACGGGCGTGCTCCGGTGTGTCACTTCCAACTCTTTCTCATCGCCTCCCTTTGTATACTGTCGTTTATTTGTTTCACTGTACCGTTAATGCCTGACTGATTTGGTTTTGGCATGGTCGCGGTGCTGCACAGTGGCAGCCACACACGCACTAAAAGGAGCTTTTGCGGCGAGAAAAGCTCAAAGGAGAAGAGTCCAAGTTGATGCAGCAGCAGTACCGGACTTGGACTTTGGTGTGTTTCAAAGCCAGACATCAGCCATCGAATTTGCCCAGGTTTGAATTATCTCAAGCCTGGCATCAGGAATCCCAACAGAAAGAGAAAGAGGACCCTCATTCGTGCCCGTTATACACACATGTTTGCGTGCCCCACCTGATTTCCCAGTTGCTTGTCCGGTCATGTTTCTTTCGGCTTGTGTGCTACATGCAGGAAGACAGGCGGATGGCGTTGGAGTGGAAGCGCCTTGCGCATTTGTCTCGGTCAGTCCGCAAAAGCTTGCCCCATCCTGCTGAGTGGCATGAGCTGAGGGCCAAGCCACAGGAAGCTGAACTGTGTGGCACTCATACTCATTTCTATCAGATTCTATCCAAACTGCAAGGTAAAGACCATGGGTGACCATGGTTTGATAGAAAGGGCTTCGTGAAAAGGCTTAGTGAAAGAGGCGCGCGCGCGCTCTTCGTCCTTCGCGGTCGTTGAGTTCAAGGCCTGGAGGCATGTTGCATAAGATCCGTTCAAATCAGAAGCGCTGGGGGCGTCAGACACGGAAGCAACGAGCCAAAGCTGAGAGAAACGAAGAGAAGCAGAAGCCTGAGCGACGAGAGTTAGGGAGCGAAGGAAGAGGAGTGAGGTTATGTGAGGTTTAGAAGTACGGAGAACAAAGTCATCGAGAGAAGTCCTAAGAACGAGCTTGGAGTCGAACAGCTTACACAGGTGTTGATGCGCTTGTTGGCAGTATGGGGGTGGCTTTGGTTGAGAAGCAGCGTGCCCAGGCCCTCCGGAGGCTGTTGGAAAGGAAGAGGGTAGGATGAAGAGAATCATAGTTCTAGAGTTCGAGGGGGGAGCATGTGGCCAGAGTTTGTTTCTATTCTTGCTCCTTGCAGAGACGCACACTGACAGAGACTGATTCAGGCATATTATGACATATTTGGACATCGATGGGGATGTTCCGATCAAGGGCTCTTTTTCCAAGCCAGAAGGGTCTCACGATGTCTCAAGTATGCTTTGTTTAGTAGAGATGGCCATGAGATGGCCTCCAACCTAATAATAGCAATGGCCTCCCTAGTAGCGATGGCCTCAAGCTGGAAGGTGCCTTGTTTATCGGTTCTTCACCGCATCTTCGAAGCTCAACTCGGGCGACGCCACGGGGGGCCGTCCATAGTTGCCATGCCGCGCCGCAGATCACCCTCCAGGCACATTCTTGAAGTCAGATGAGAGGCTGTAGGAGCAAGGACGCTACTAGGGGCTCCTGGCCTCGCTACTAGGAGC